CAGTGTAAACAAAATATTCCCAAATGAAGAGAAATACTAATGAAATACTTATACCGTAAAAGAACAGAATGACAATCAGATATCTAAATGAAAATTCATGTCTCGTTTTTAATTCACAAACCAGAATAGTTTCACAGTTCACACAAGAGTCTATATAATTTAAACTTTATTTTCAGCCACGTGCCTTGTGTCACATCTACTGACCATCAAGAAAGAGAATTTCAATACAAGACAACAGTAGCCCAAAATGGCAAATATTACACTAAAAGTTCCATAGGAAGGCAACATTTTAATACTAAAATATTACAGTACACCAAAATATTGGATCAATATATGCTTAGATACCTTCACACTGCTGCCTTTCCAGTCTTTCCCTTTCTTTTTGCCCACTCACAGGATTAATCTTCTTGCCCTAAATAGAAAATAGAAATCAACAGAGACATGGATTAGTAAATCCACAAAACGAAGAGCTCAACCAACCTAGCATGTATGCCAAATTTCTGCAAGCAATAAGAAATTATTACATGATCCAGGAGAGTATGATGTCTAGCTCTGGAGATAGTATCTGCAAAGCGGCTTTTTAGCATGGCAACACGCAAAACCTTGTTTGGCGACATATTAACAGGTGAAATCCATCCTAAAACAAAGGCATATATAAATCAAATCTCCATATTTCTAAGGCATGAATGATACTTCAGTAGTTTTGATCTTTGAATTTGCAGAGGAAAACCAAATCATTTTCTTACATGCGGAACTGATATATGCATGTCTGGGTGTGCCAGTGGGAGTAAAAGGTTAATCCCAAAAATGCATTTCCATGTCTAGATCATAGTTACCTTTATCAATGGCAGCAGTTGTGGCCGGGGAAGAGACTCTTTGCTGAGAATTGTCTTCATTGCGAACACATTCATGCCCTACAATTCATTGACAATGGCATGTTAAAGCTCAAATAATCAAAAGACAAGCTACACAATTGTAAACATATAGGCAACAGCTATTGCTCTCACCATATGAATCCAGCTGTAAACCTCTTGTTTGAGATGTCAAAGGATATTTAACCCCACCATCCTGATGTAATTAGACACGGTGAAGATCAACAAAAAGTGACACCATACAAATTATTTGGAGAAACGAGAAGAGTCTAAAATTTACAAGTTTAGAATCACCAGAGTCATCACGATCAGATAATCTTTTTGAAGAAAAATCTGAAACAAGATGCAATATACTCCAAATTAGTTGACAGGAACACAAATGCAACATATTAACAAGTTGTAATAAGAATTTAAATCACCATTGGAAGATGGCTTAACAGAACATCTGAGGCTGCATTGGCATGTCAGACTACCACATGCAGCACATTTGATTGCAGGGAAATCAAATGGTTGTTTTCCATTGGAAGTAGCAAATAGACCTTGATTTCCATTGGGGCGCCCACTTTGTGCTGTTCTTGAAGGCTTCACCTGTTCAGGAAAACATACAGAATCAACAATTTATGTAAAGAAAGATCTAGTAACCACTAACAAGGAGCAACAAACTAAGGATAGAGCAAACAAAGCAAGTGCATGATAACAT